CTCTCTTCTCTAATACTTTGTCCAATGAACTCTAGAATCTTTGATCTCCTTTAGTTCTCAGCTACTGTTCTTCAACTCAGGAAGTTCACAGGCTCTGTCTGGGTTTCTGCCACCATGGCTTGGGAACTCTCAAAGCAGTGAGCTGAGGCAATTTTAGGACTTATTTTGTATGTTTCACTCAAGGATTATAGGCCTTCGCTGCCAGATATTCACTGTATTGAAAACTATTGTTTTATACATTTTGTCTAATTATTTTGGTTCCTTTGGACTGAAAGATAAATTCAATCTCTCTTGCTTTGTTTTGACCAGAAGCAGAAGTCCCCATTACTATTTGTTCTTCACTGATCAAGGATGTGTTGAATGACACCATCCTAGGCTTCCTGATAAAGTAGGAAATAAAGATTAAAATTTTAAAAAGAGAAAAAAAGTTACAGCCACAGGAAAGACAAAACAAAAACTTAAAAGGAAATGAAGAAATAACTTACAACTAACAGCTTTATAGGAAAACAAAGAGGAGAAAACTAAAACTTTTAATGAAGCCACACTAACTCAGTTTAACAAACAATCCTATATCTCTCAAAAAAGTACAACATTATAATGTGAAACAATATGATAATGGGCATGCATAACAATGGCAACGAAAGAAATGATGTCCAACTTTCAGCTTCTCAAAAAGAAAGAAAATTACATTTTAAAATGATTTACTTCTAAAATGATCAAAACTGTGTCTGAATACTTAACAGTCACTTAGGAAAAATCACTTCTAAAGAAGAACTTATCACATATTTATGGTGAACAGTAGAGATACGACTGTTTTCATGCTTGAATGTGTGAGAAATTATAAGAACTCTGGAGTATTGAGAAAAACAAGTTTGGTGTGCCCTTGTTTCTGAATAATTTATTTTCGTGACATCGCATGTACAGCACATTGAAAAAACTATCTCAGGGGAATATTTTGATAATCTCCCTCTGGCACCTTCCACCTAAGATTCTCTATTTGTTGCAATAAGTAACTCTAGTGCCTGGCAGACACCTCTATGAGAGGTTTCTAACATCTCACAAGAAACCATCTGTTTTCTGTGTGTGCCAAGGAGGGTGAGACTAAAAGAGAAGACTTGTGCTGCTGAAC